CTCTTATTTCCCTATTATTTAGCAATATTTTTTTATATCTTTCATGTATACTTCTGGAAGTTCCTACTGAATTTGGTTTCAATGCTACACCTCAAATGCCCATTACTTTTATCAGTCTCAACCCGTACTCCTGCCTAGAACCCCATCTCTATTCACCGTAAACTATCTATTCATACTTGTTTATTCTATTTCCCTTCCTAAAGAAGATATATCTGTTTCATTCTCCTTGTGCTTCTACAGATTGTAGCTTTGTTATCATTGTCTTCATGGCTCTTATCCACTAATAAGTGGACCATGAGTGAGTAGAGTCAATAGCAGAATGTCTGATAAAGGTCTGAGAATGAGATTGGGTGATAGGACATGGGGGCATGGATGCAGAATTGATAATGTGCAACTAGTGTCTTGGCTTCTCTGGTAAGGATGGCCTCTGTTTGAAGAGAAAGACTGCTGGAGTTTCAAGTAGGAACAAAGCAATGAATTATGAGATGAAAATTTGGATGGGGAAATCTATATGATCCTTTTTAGATTAGTGCAGGAGGGAAGAAATGTCTTCAGAAGTTGTTGTGTTTTCTTCCTGATCTAGGGATGAGTCTTGGGGGATAGATTTAGAAGAGCAGAGAAAAAGGTGAAAATCAGCAATTTGCCTCCCTGCTTCCCTTCCCAGATGGGTTCCTGGGTCTTTGTTTCTACTGGATTTGGAGTGTGGACAATGCAATCAGGAATAGAAGGAAGGTTCAGTGGTGGGTTGTGGGATACTCTGACATAGAGAAGGATGAGGCTACTGCAGTTCTGCTACAGAGCTTGGAATGAATTGATTACATTGGACTTAAATAGCCATGGTGAGAGGTGACGTCCTGGAGTTTACTTCTTACCTGGCAGAAGGGGCTCTGGAGTTCCAGGGAATTCCTGCCAGAGTTGGGTGCTGAGATCAAGAAAGGTTGTGAAAAATGGTGTTAGAATTGGAAGATGTGTTTTAACCATTGGAGATGAAATCACAGGCAGCAGGGAACCTGCAGCAGGCCATTTTATCAAAGCTGAAGATGGTACTGTGGGATTGGATTAAGAAAAGAAAAGTTGAGGTGAAGTTCGGCAGTTAGGATATCTGCTGCTCTGACTGGAGTTGCCTGTCAGTCTTAAATACTGTTTCCTGTCTCTTGTTTTCTATGGGTATGCATGTTATGAATCATTTCATAACTTCTAATTCATAAAAAAATCCCTTCCCCTCAATTATAGCAGACAGTTTTGCTTACTACTGTAGTCAGTATAGGCCCATATTCTCTTTAGAATTGCACTGTCCCTAGCTCTTTTGGTTAGTACCTTCTCCTCTGAAATAAGCTGTTACTTTAATGGGCTTTCCTTTATATGAGACATTTAATTCCTTTTGTCATATTTTATTTTACTTTTTATAATTTAATTTTATTTTATGTGCATTGGTGTGAAGGTTTCAGATCTGGAACTGGACTTACAGACAGCTAGCTGTGAGTTGCCATGTGGATGCTAGGAATCGAACCTGGGTCCTCTGGGAAAGCATCCAGTGCTCTTAACCACTGTGCCATCTCTCCAGCCCGCACTTCTTCATATTTTAATGCTCTTGTTTTTTTTTGCATATTAACTAGGGCTTTCTGTGTGGTATTTCTTTTTATATTTTTGCCTATTTGGTGTTGGAATGTTTCCAGTATCTAAAATGTTATGACTCTCTTGAGTTTGGCAAATTTGTCTTTCATGATCTTAGGGAAGATTTTATCTATGCCATTGAGGTAAGATTCTTATCTTACACACACACACACACACACACACACACACACACACACACACACACACATATATATATATATTCATGTTACTATTGTGTTGATCATTACCTGTACAATATTTTAGTGCTATATTTAAATATACAAATATATGTGTGTGTTTCTGATATGCAGTTAAGTTACTCTTCTTGTTTTTATTGAGTTTTGATATTATATTTGCTATTTTTCTGTCTCACTTATAAAGCTTTATCTTGACTTATCTAATTAGTTTCCTGTTACAACTTCACTTTAGACTGAATTCTCATCAATAAATCTATACTTCTTTTGAATTTTTTGAGATTGGACTGTCTTCATTTATGTCTCTGTTGTCTCTTACATCACTCAGGTTTTTTAGTTTCTCTTCATTAATTTTATTGGGCTGTTTGTCTCTGTCTTATTTAAGCACTTTGACTACTTTAATAGTGTTCATGATAGTTCTTCCATCTTCTGTATCATGGCAATTATGGATTGAAGAATACTTCTATGAGACAGATAGACTTTGGGGGCGGGGGTAAAATGCTGGCTTTATTCTTTATAGTCTATGTGTGATTTTCTTTTATTTTAATTAAACACCATTATCAGGAAAATGTGTAAAACTAAGAGTTTCATTGGGCTTAAGATACCACGAAAATAAAACTCCATTATGCCATGGGGTGAAGTCAAGAGGCAGTAAATGTAGAAAGAACAGATAATGTTCAAATTTCAAATTTCAGGCCAGCACCAGAAAGGAAACTAAAGATAGTGTGTAGTTCCTACATTTAAAGGTCCTAACTCAGTCACACATTTTATGCATTAACACCATACTTCGAGTCAAGTAATGTGGCTACATGAAAACAAAGTTGTCAAGTGTGTGACCTTTAGGGAACACTGTTATTCAAACTAGCATATATAGTAATCATGTTCTTGTGATCAAAATTGGTCCTGTGAACTCTTCTGTAATTTCTGTGTCTTTTATGCACAATGAAGACTTAACAGGCAACAATGAATACAGGGAAACTTGGGTGTGAAGGCTACATATAGCATGGGTGGTGGGGTGTCAAGTAGGAACAGGGGATGGGCAGAATTACAAGATGGGCATCCCATTGTAAGGGTGAATGTACGAGTATTCTGGACAGAGATTATCAGTCTAAATATGGGCACATAGGGTAGAATACAGGCTAGAACGATGGATTGGTTAGGGAATGTAGATGAGCAGATATTGTGGAATCACCGATCTGATAACAAGTAGAAAATGTATGGTGCCAGATTGGGATCAAAAGTGCTCATGATTTGCATGAAGGAGAATTGGGAGTGCCTGTGCTCCCTTGCCAGTAATAGCAGAATGTCAGGGTCCTTCATAGTTTTGTAAGAGTTAGCAGGACAGGTTGTAGTTTCTATCTTGATCATGTGTTCAGGAAATTACACAGAGTCAGGTGATTATAAATTATTTATGGAATTGTTTTGTGTAGATGAGAGGATATGCTGGCAACAACCTACTTACTCACTCTTACGGAGGATAGTAATAATACAGAACAGATGGCAGACATGATTGAGCAGGTTCTGGTGTATGCTGTCTTTGTGGGAGAAAATGATTTGGGGTGCAATCCAAGTTGCCCTGTTAAGGAAATGAGAAAGAAGTGGATGTTCACAAGGAGGAGTAGAGTCAACAAAAAAGTGTGATCTCTTGGATTATGATTGTGTAAGCAGAAAGAATCATAGCAGGGAATACAATAGACGTGTTCCTTATGCACATGGCAAGTGGGAGAGAGCTCCAATGTTTTTCTGAAACTGTTGTCTATGTTTGCCTGTTACATAACCTTATGAAGGTCAAACATTCCATGAATTTCTGTCATTTTTCATAAGCAGATTTATTTTCTACAGTAAAACTTTAAAAATTTCCTATGTTACAAACTTGACATATTCCCCAGACAGCTGTCATTTTAAGCATTATACTCTCATATTGTTTTCAAATTATTGTGCAAATCAAGAGTGTGTTTCTTTTCATTTCTTTCAGCTCTATCATTTTACCAGACCCAGGAGGTCTCCCAACAGAAGTACAAACAAGATTCTTTACAGAAAGAAGGAGCAGGCTTATTTGAAACTATTGGTCTTGACATGTTACATACAAGTAAGTTCTGGGATTATCCTGGTGACAAAAGAGAATATGAATCATGTTTTCATGAGAGGGATGTTTATGAGAAACATGTCAAAGTCATTACTTATGAAAATAATCAAGAACCTCTGGTGTGTCCAAGGAGAGCATACTCTGTATCAGTTACAAGTTCAGAATCAAATGATTATATGGAAAAATATCCACACCAAGCATGGACACCTCGTTATACTCTACATGGATATATGGAAACTTCACAAGGGGACACACAGTGTAACACTTCAAAGTCTTTGCAACACTTTTCAAGTGTTTTGCAATTAAATGATACTCTAATAGTCCGTGAAGAAAGGAGTGCTTTAAGCACAGAAAAATATTTGAATTGTCAGCGGTATGGTATTTCCTATACTCAAAATTCAGTAGAAGTTCCTGAACAATTACTTCCACTATATGACAACTTCCACAATTTAGATCAACATAAATATTTTAGGAATGAAATGTGGCATAATATGTATCATAAGGAAAGAAATTGTGAAAATTCCAATATATTTAGTAATGTTGATAATGACCTTGCTAAGTTTTCTTTGGTAAATAATTACCAGAATAGTCAGTTTGAAATACCTTTTAGTGTCAAGGACTCATGGACTTTCTCTACTAATGATGTAATTCCTAGTAATTCTCCCATGAATACTTGCTCAACAGTTAATCATTTTGAAATCCATGAACATCAGAAAGTTTTTAATAAGTACTCAAACACTTCTTTGCAAAAACATGAACATAGCCAAGAGAAGCACAGGACAAGCAAACACCATGACCAAAGTCTTAAAGAATTCTCAAACTGTATTCAGTATAATGGAACTAGTACTCAAAAAAATTATGAGAGACTCAGAGGTGATGCATGCAACAAGGTCACAATTGAATCCTCAAATCTGGCTATGGATAATATAAAGCATACAGGAATAAATTTTTGCCAGATTAAAGTATGTGATAAATTCTTTGATTTCAATTCAAATATCATTCAGAATGATTCAAGTCACACTGCAGAAAAGAAACCATATAGATGTAATGATTGTGGAAAGTCCTATAGCAAACTTTCATCCCTTCATATTCATCACAGAATCCATATGAGAGAGAACCCATATAAATGTGAAGAATGTGGAAAATCCTTTAGGAAAAGTTCATCCCTTAAAGTTCACCACAGAATCCACGTGAGGAAGAAACCTTATAAATGTGATACATGTGGAAAGCACTTTACTAGGTGCTCATCTCTTCATGTTCATCAGAGAATCCATACTGGAGAGAAACCTTACAAATGTGATGACTGTGGAAAGTCCTTTGGTAAGTCCTCCCATCTTCAATGTCATAGGAGAACCCATACTGGAGAGAAACCTTATAAATGTGATGACTGTGGAAAGTCCTTTGGTAAGTCCTCCCATCTTCAATGTCATAGGAGAATCCATACTGGAGAGAAACCTTATAAATGTGATGAATGTGGAAAGTCCTTTGTTCAGTCCTCCAAACTTCAATATCATAGGAGAATCCATACTGGAGAGAAACCTTATAAATGTGATGAATGTGGAAAGTACTTTAGGGATAGATCATCTCTTCATGTTCATCAGAGAATCCATACTGGAGAAAAACCTTATAAATGTTATGACTGTGGAAAGTCCTTTGTTAAGTCCTCCCATCTTCAATGTCATAGGAGAACCCATACTGGAGAGAAACCTTATAAATGTGATGAATGTGGAAAGCCCTTTGTTAAGTCCTCCAATCTTCAATATCATAGGAGAATCCATACTGGAGAGAGACCTTATAAATGTGATGACTGTGGAAAGTACTTTAGGGATAGATCATCTCTTCATGTTCATCAGAGAATCCATACTGGAGAAAAACCTTATAAATGTAATGAATGTGGAAAGTCCTTTGTTAACTCCTCCCAACTTCAATGTCATTGGAGAACCCATACTGGGGAGAAACCTTATAAATGTGATGAATGTGAAAAGTCATTTGTCATGTCCTCCAGTCTTCAATGTCATAGGAGAATCCATACTGGAGAAAAACCTTATAAATGTGATGACTGTGGAAAGTACTTTAGGCATGTTTCCTCTCTTCATGCTCATCATAAAATTCATACTAGAGACATACTATACAAATGTTAAAATGCATCAAGTCATTTACCCATTGCTTTTCTGTTAATGATCATCACAGAACTTGTACCTAAATTAAGCCATATAAATGTAAAAAAACATGAAAATTCCTTCACCAAATCTTCAACACTTCTTTGTCTTCCCTGAACCCATACTAGAGAGGAACTTTACAAGTATGAAGAATGGGGAAAATGAACGTACCAGAAAACTCACAAGAAAGAAACAGAAAGAACTTCTCTAATAATTATCAGCTTTAATTTATTATCGTATATTTTTCCAATAAAATTTCCTTCTAAATGTGTGGAATACACAAAATCTTTGATCAATATTCACTCCTTATACAATATCACAAGTATCACTTTAGGAAGCTCTACCCTTGATGCAAATTTTGAAGTGTTTAATCAGAAGTAGACCTTATAATTACTAAATGCTTATTGAAAAATATCTATGTATATTATTTAAACATCAGCTCATTAAGTACAAAGGGTTCTTGTTTGAAAATAATAAAGAAATGACAATGTGAAACAGAATTCTTGCTAATAGATGATTATTGACTGCAATACAAAGTCAAAGTAATTACATAATATCTTTATGCAATTTGTTGAAGATGATGTTTTATTTTGTGTGATATTACTGTATTCTATATCACTTATATTTCCAGTATTTTAGATTTTGAAAAGTGTATAATAATGATTGTTTTAACCTCATTTTGATTCCCTGTTTTTATGAGTACAAATAAATGTATTATACCTTTGGTTTATTTATATTTGCCTTGATGAGTTGAATCTTCATTAAATATGAGGAAGGCATTATGAAGATTAGTTGTTACATAAATGTCAGTGCTAACAACAACGTATCATTTTAATTAAAACTAGATTTTATAGAAAACTATAACAGTGGAAATAATTAAATGCAAAGAGCAATATTATGAAGTCCAAAGGAAGGAGATAACAATTTATTATTTAAGTAAATTATGTCTCCATTTTCTCACTAAGATAGAATATTGCTTGATCCCCCTGGTTCCTACAATTCTTTCTTCTTCTATTCTTATAGGAACTCACAGTCTAAAACAGCAACCAGGGAGACTACATGAGACCCTCACTCAGCCCTCTACATATATGTAACAATTCTGTAGTTTGTCTATTTGTGGAACTCCTAACAATGGGAGCAGAGTCTGTCCCTAATGCGTTGGTTGGCTCTTTGGAGCCTATTCCTCTTACTGGATTGCCTTGCTTTGTGTAATTACATGGGGAGGTTGCTAGTCTTATAGCACATGATATGTCTGGTTTATTGATATGTATTGGAGGCTGGACCGTTTCTTAATAGAGACAGAGGGGGAGTGGATTGGGGTGTGGAGGGAAATTGGGGAGGGAATTGGAAGAAAAGAGGGAGGGAAAACTGTGGTGTAGCTAGAGTTTTCCTGCCTGGCCCACAGTCAGGACAAATCTCTCTCACCTGCCAGTCCCACAGCCACTCAGACCCAACCAAGTAAACACAGAGACTTATATTGCTTACAAACTGTATGGCCGTGGCAGGCTTCTTGCTAACTGTTCTTACAGCTTAAACTAATCCATTTCCCTTAATCTATACCTTGCCACATGGCTCCTGGCTTACCGGTATCTTCACATGCTATTTGTCATCGTGGTGGCTGGCAGTGTCTCTCTGACTCAGCCTTCCACTTCCCAGCTTTATTCTCCTCCTTGTCCCGCCTACACTTCCTGCCTAGCCAATGGCCAATCAGTGTTTTATTTATTGACTAATCAGCAACACATTTGCCATACAGAACATCCCACAGCACTTCCCCCATTTTTTTTTCAAAAAGGAAGGTTTTAACCTTAAAAAAGTAAAATTACATGTAATTTGGGAATTTGGGCGTAGCTTCTCTTACTACTTCCTGCTGGAGGGGGGCGCTGTATCTTATGGGGCACAAACAAAATTTTAGGATTATGGAATAATCCATGAGGCTGTATTGTCTGAGCCAGTTACCTTCAAATCATTCTGGATGTTGGATCATCTGGGCCATGGTGTTATCGGAGACCTTTCAGGGGGTCTTGGCTGGTCAAACCTGATGTATCTTAATCTGGAACAAATCCATAGCCTCTGGCTTTCTGTGGAAACAAAACCAGAGACTCTTTTCCAAAGCAACATATCCTTATATCCAAATTTTGAAGTCAAGGTACCTTTAAAATATACATATTGGTTTAACTCAGCTTCCTTTGCAATCAAATATCTCTCTGCAGTTAAGAATCCCAAAGACAACACAATCCAGATTCTCTGTGTAATATTCATCTTTATGTGGCTTATTTTCTATATTAATTTTACTGTCTCTTTAAAGACTTTATTTTTTAAAACTATGTATTTGTTTATATAACTGTATATATCACCTTTTTTGTCTCTTTTAAGCCTACGTATATTTTATACACATTGTAAACTGTTACATCTGAAACTGTCTTATTGTGAATCTATTGCTTTAAGCTGCAGCAGCTGTGGCTGCTGGCTCCGCCCACCTCAGCTTCCCAACATGGCGGTGGTTTTCCGCCAGCTCTGGGAGCTATCGTGGGTCTATGCTTTTAGCCAAGCAGCATGTAGCCCAGAAACCTCTTTTTTTTTTGTTTTGTGCTAGCAAAGTCTAAATCCACCACGCAGCTTAATGTGCCACTTGCAGAGGCCTCATTCCCGCCATATGGCGGCAGGTCAAGCACGCACGCTAGGAACCCACCAGTAGCTCAAACCCAGAGCTGCCGCTCATTTGAGAGAGACAATTTGGAACTGTTTTTAGCTCCATTTTAGAATCTTTTTTTCTCAGTTTTTAGGTGGAAACTCTTGCCCCACGTTGGGCACCATTTATAGCTAGAGTTTTCCTGCCTGGCCCACAGTCAGGACAAATCTCTCTCACCTGCCAGTCCCACAGCCACTCAGACCCAACCAAGTAAACACAGAGACTTATATTGCTTACAAACTGTATGGCCGTGGCAGGCTTCTTGCTAACTGTTCTTACAGCTTAAACTAATCCATTTCCATTAATCTATACCTTGCCACATGGATCATGGCTTACCGGTATCTTCACATGCTGTTTGTCATCGTGGTGGCTGGCAGTGTCTCTCTGACTCAGCCTTCCACTTCCCAGCTTTATTCTCCTCCTTGTCCCACCTACACTTCCTAGCCAATGGCCAATCAGTGTTTTATTTATTGACTAATCAGCAACACATTTGCCATACAGAACATCCCACAGCACTGTGGTAAGAATATAAAATAATTAATAAATTATTAAGCTTTTAGAAAAGTAAAAAACACCTGGGCAGTGCTGGAACAAGCCTTTAATCCCAGTACTCGGGAGGCAGAGGCAGGCGGATCTCTGTGAGTTTGAGGCCAGCCTGGGCTACAGAGTGAGTTCCAGGAAAGGCACAAAGCTACACCGAGAAACCCTGTCTTGAAAAAAAAAAAAAAAAAAAAGAAAACAAAACATAAACATACAGGCAAAAATACATATAAAATGCTGTTTGTACATTGACTATTGATGAGTCTCAGTGTAGGACACTCAATCTCAACCTTCCTAATACTGTGACATTTTAATACAGTTCTTTATTTTTTTTTATTTTTATTTTTTTTTTTTTGGTTTTTCGAGACAGGGTTTCTCTGTGTAGCTTTGTGCCTTTCCTGGATCTCACTCTGTAGACCAGGCTGGCCTCGAACTCACAGAGATCCGCCTGGCTCTGCCTCCCGAGTGCTGGGATTAAAGGCGTGCGCCACCACCGCCCAGCAAGTTCTTTATTTTTGATGACCCTAAACTATAAAATTAATTTTCCTGCTATTTCGTAAGTGTAACTTTGTTCCTGTTATGAATTCTAATGTACATATCTGATATTTCTGATGGTCTGTGATAACCCCTGTGAAAAGGTCATTGTATCCCCAAAATGATCATAACATACATGTTGAGAACTGTGGCTGTATGATTTCTAAAAACTGATTATGTAGAGAGATATACATATGAGCAATAATAAGAAATATGTAAATTATTCATCAAATACTGTTAAGTGAATTTCAGGCTAGACATAAGGTAGCCTAATTTTTTTTAACACATCTCCAAAGTTGGCAAAAATGACTCTTCAAGTAATCTACATAAATATTTTTGCAACAGCTAAAATGGGTGTTCTGTTCAAGTTAATATAAATGCTAAATCCCTGTGGCAGCTGAATTGCTTTTCATAAACTGTTTTGAGTTCAATAACATAAAGAAAAAATATCTGTATGTCACAGAAAAATCATCCACACCTTTAAACCTTCACAAATTATACATTTCAGAGTGAAAGAAATACAAATGCCCAGTATGATCCAATGTAACTTTGAGACACAGGATCTTTTAACTACAGAACTTAAATCTGAAATATATCACACATCCTCATCCACAACAATTTTATTGAAGATTATTGTCTGTGGTGGTATTGCTGGACCCCAAAGTTTAGGGTCTCAAGTGGGCACTCCAAGAACCCAGACTACAGTCCAGTTGATGCAACAGCACGAGGATTCATTAAGCTTCTATATATAAGGGCTCCTCTGCTCCCAAGAGCCAGAGTCGCATCTTACTGCAGCCCCATAAGGGCTTTTAAAGGAAAAACCCACAAAACCCACAAGATTACAATTCCCATACAATTTCATGGCCTGATCACAGGGTGATCACAGAATGGGTACAGTCACCTTCGCATGCACATTCTTCCTGCAACCTCAAGGTGGGTATCAGGGCAGGAGTGGAGTTTGCACACAGGTCACGGTGGTCCTTCCTGGAACACCTGCAACTATTCCAGTCACAGTTGAGCACATTTCTTAACAGAAATCTTTTAACATTGTTATATTGTTACAGGGGTGATTGAGTAGTGGCTGAGTCAGATTGTCCTTGGAACTAGATTTTTAGTTTCTCATTTCCTGGTGCTGAAGTTTCTCTCTTCCTGAGGCTTGGGGGTGTAAGCTAGGGCCTTTCAGTATTGTGTTCCCCAAAATATTGTGTATCCTAATAAA